CCTATAAATCAATAGAAAGGTCTAAATATATAATCCATGTTTCTGTCTCATATTTATATGGCATTAAAAGGACCTGGAACTTTTATTTTTCCACTGAAAGCTCTGGTTTACACAGTAAATGCCATGTGGGTGAAATTTTATGGATGATACTCTGATGTCCCATTCTCCTGAAGGCAGCACAGAGCTGAAGTAGCAGAACCAGACAGAACCACAAAGGTGGAGAAGAGTTATGATTGATAAAGTTGCAGTTTGATCCATGTTTTGTTTTTTAGGGCACAGTTTTTTGCAAATAGTTAAAAGTTTGAACTGGTGTTGTACAACTTTTATCTGGCCATTTTGTACAAGATTTAGCAACTAACGTCAGAAAATGGCTCAGAATGAGAAAAGGCTGATTGTCAAAGTTTGAGGCCGACTGATTTTAAGTTGAATGTTCATTTGCATTTTTCTTAGACTGTAAGAATAATTTATTTTCGTGTGTTCTCAGGGAAACTAGTAATTCAGTAATGTGTTTTTCTTTTAATGATTTTTGATTATACAGAAAGAACAATAAAAATCATAACAGCAACTGTAATGATAGTGATATTAACAATAAAATAACATTCAGTAGCAGCCTACACGTCAGCACATTTTAAACTGTATTGTTGAGCTGCAGCAATGCATTCTGGGTAGACAATAAACAACATTGCTGCTCTGCATCACTGCTGTGTAAACAGACTTCAAAATAAGAGCATGAATATAAACGTCTAACTACTAGAAGAAATCTTCAGTCAATAATAAACTTCAACACCGACGGTGAACTTTATTTATTAAGCTGAAAGTTTTCAAAACTTCTGAGTAAATTTATTGGGAAAAGTTGGTCAGAGGAGCTAGGTTAGCTAAGACGCTTAAAAAAATTAGTTGTGCTGTGGTTCTGTTCTGTTAGGCCACCGGCTAACAGAACCTATCTGGACCCAACGGACCGGCTTCCCCTTTCGTGTTTCTGGCACCATCAAGTTTACGGTTCTGGTCCCAGTGGGTCAGAACCTCTGGACCGACTCAAACCAGTCCGGCGTTTTGTTCCAGGCCTCTACGGATCTGCCCTCCATGTCTGGGACTGGACCACCCACAGGAAGCTGCAGACTCTGGAACTGGGAGAAGATGGCGCCATTCCTCTGGAGGTCCGCTTCCTGCACGACCCCGACGCCACCGAGGGCTACGTGGGATGTGCCCTGCGGGGATGTGTCTTCAGGTTCTACAGAACCCCGGTCAGAACCACACCCGTCCTGCAGTCTACCGGGCTTCTGTGGGATGTTCTGGTCCAAACGCAGGAGGTTCTGGTACCTGAAGGGCCTAGCAGGTCTCCATCATGAGGGGTTCCACCTAAAAACGATTTATGATTAAAACTAGAATACAGTTGGAAGGTTCTTATGTTACTGGTGAAATGGACCAGAACCACCTAGAACCCAGAACCCGCAGAACAGAGATAGTTGGAGATCCGGTTCTGGTGTCCATCATCAGAACCATGAAAATGTTCTGATGGTTCTGATGTTTCCTCAGAAAGGCGACTGGGCAGCAGAGAAGGTGATCAGTGTTCCCAGTAAGAAGGTGGAGGGATGGATGCTACCTGAGATGCCAGGTGAGGTGACAGTCTACCTGTCTGCCTCACCTGTCTCTGTCTCACCTGTCTCTGTCTCACCTGTCTCTGCCTCACCTGTCTATCTCACCTGTCTATCTCACCTGTCTATCTCACCTGTCTCTGTCTCACCTGTCTCTGTCTCACCTCTCTCTGTCTCAACTGTCTCTGCCTCACCTGTCTCTGTCTCAACTGTCTCTGTCTCACCTGTCTCTGTCTCACCTGTCTCTGTCTCAACTGTCTCTGTCTCACCTGTCTCTGTCTCAACTGTCTCTGCCTCACCTGTCTATCTCCCCTGTCTATCTCCCCTGTCTATCTCACCTGTCTCTGTCTCACCTGTCTCTGTCTCACCTCTCTCTGTCTCAACTGTCTCTGTCTCATCTGTCTCTGTCTCAACTGTCTCTGTCTCACCTGTCTCTGTCTCAACTGTCTCTGTCTCACCTGTCTCTGTCTCAACTGTCTCTGTCTCACCTGTCTGTCTCAA